TCCTCCTGAAACTCCAGGGCTTCTGCCTTCTCCTCCTCTGTAGGATGGACCAGACCAAGTAAACCCAGGCCGAGCCCCTGCTTCACCCTTCCCATCCCCCTCCACCGCCTCAGTCCCCGCCCGGAACACGTGGGCTGTGTCCTTCAGGAAGTTCAGGCTGCCGCTGGGCAATGGGGCAGGAGGGCCTTTACTTATCAGCTCAGTCTAAAGCCCCCTGAAGGTCTGGCCCACCCCAGGAAGCCCACTAGAACTCCTGGCCAACCTCCCACAGGGCAGCCAGCCCCAGCAGCCCACTGCATACCTGCGTCAATCACCCATCAGTGACGGGATGGCAGCAGGCAGGCTTAGGAACAGGCCCCGCCCCTCACCTGCCCAGCCCACAGGCTCACCTTGCTGCCTGAGCTGCTCAAGGTAGAGCTTGGCCAAGCGCAGCTTCTTCTCCTGTGCAGTCTCCTCCAGCTCCCCCTCCTCCTCTTCCTCTGTCCTCCTGGGAGTTTGGCTGTGGGCAGAATGGGGCTGGGTTTCAGGGGACTCACCCCACTTCTCTGGGCACTAGGACCATGCCTCCTGGCTGCTCCCCCTGCCAGTCCCCCGCTCCCATCCCCACCAGCCCTCATGCCCAATGCAGACACATGCAGAAAACGGAAGACATGACTTACCAGTTGAAAGGGCCCACCCAGTGCCCGACATAAGGGTGAAAACAGACCCAAAACCCAAAGAGATCCCTGTGAAATCTCTCAACACTGGAGGGAAAGAGAAGTTTCTACAGGCTCCTGAGAAAAATCAGGTCGTGTCATGTACAAAGGGTCAGGTCAGGAATCAAAATGGCTTTAGACGTCTCAACAGCAACGCCGACATCAGAAAGACACGCGTGCCGCATACACAAAATTCTGATGGAAAATGTTAACCCCTGGAATTCCATGCAGTTAAACCATCAATTATGAAGGAAGACACTGTCAGATGTCTAAGGTCTGACAAATTCTAAAGAATTGGTCCTTTCTCCTTCTGTTAAGATGGAGGATGTGCTCCAGAACAGGGGGACAAACTAAAAATGGGGACATGGGAGACAGGAAACGGGAGACCCAACGCGGGGAGCAGGGAAGGTAGCTCCCAGAACCACCACCACCCCCAGACATGGGGGAGCGGCCAGCCCAGATCCGATGCAAGGACCACCAGAAGCAGACACGTTGAGTCTGTCATCACCCCATCCTCATTGCCAAGGCACTATCCTATACCCTGAAGCTTCACTGGTCTTGGCTTGAACTTGTGCTGGTTTTCCTTTTATGCCCCAGACCCCAGACCAACTGGGACACTCACTTCACTCAAGACGAGTCCTCCTCTGACTTACTTCTGGGAGTTGGGGTAGGTCACGGGAACTCAGAGGCAGAAAACCCAGGGCAATCTGTTCCCTGTGATCACATGCCTACAGATATTTAGTCCTTGTCAAGTGCCCCAACTGGTTCCCAGGACTTATTCATGACTTTGCCCAAGACTTTCCCAGAAATGACCTTGGAAACTCTCAATGCCAGACCACGCTCCAGAAACCATTTAGTACTGGTGCCCAGTAAGCCTTCAACAGGGTTGGTGCTGCCCTTCCCTTACACAGCCAGCGTCAGAACTTGTACTCGGTTTACCCAAACTAATCGATCTATTGTTTGGGGGTTCACACACAGGAGACAGAACTCTAAAGAAAATCGAAACAAGTATATACTGTATGATTCTAATCACGTGACATTCTGGAAAAGGTAAAACTCTAGGGACATGGTTATAATGGAGGAGGGAGAAGAACTGACTGCAAAGGAGTAGGGGGAATTTTGGAGGGTGATGACACCCTTTATATGTTTTTTTGTTTTGTTTTTTAGCTGAGCCATCCTGCCACCTGTTGGCAGCTCAGTGGCTGCTCAGCTTGGGCCATGAATGGAACCAGCGACCCTGTTGCTCAGAGCTAGAGCAAGCTCTTAACCAACTGAGCCACTGAGCTGGCCCCAACACCCTTTATATCTTGATAGTGGTAGGAGTTAACACTACATGCATCTGTCAAAACTCACAGAGCTGTACACTAAAAAAGGTGAATGTTGGGCCGGCCGAGTGGCGCGATGGTTAAGAACTGGCTTCTGACGCCAGAGGGCCACGGTTCGGATCCCACATGTGAGGGCCAGGGACACTGCCCTCCACAAAAAAAAAAAAAGTGAATGTTACTGTATATAAATTATACCTGAATGAGAAAATGAAAGAAAAAAAAAGAATAAGAAAAAGGAAGGACGGAAGCAAGGGAGGAAGGAAACCGAAGAAATGATTAACTCAAGGCAGGAGTGGCAGTTGGGGCTTCTAAATGTCTAAAGGGTCTAGTTCTTAACCTAAGCGGAGGTGCAGAGGTTCATCATTGCCTCATTGCTCTCTATAATACAAATGCATTTCATTAACTCCTCTGTATCTAATACATTTCACAACACATTTTAAAATATTTAAAAGTGTTTAGCAGAGGGCTTGGCACCCACCCACCCACAGTAACCTTGGGACTAAGAAAAGTATAGTAAGTCTTTCTGCGAGCAGGTTAAGGCCAACAAGTCGTCGGTTTTAAAAGCAGAATTTCTAAAGCCGACTCGTAAGGCAGGTACCAGGATCCTCCAGTGTGAGAGCTTCCGTTCCACAGGGTCACACCTGACACCTGCCAGCCCCCTGTGAGACCTCGCAGCATGCCCCACCCCCGTCACCTGCACAATGAGGGAGATATCCAAAGCCCTCCATAGTCTGGGTGCACTCACCACCTGCCCTGCTGTCCTCTCCATCTCCCAATAGGCTCACTTACACCCCAGACTTTTCTCTGATCCCTGAATGCCTTCCCTACCTCTCCATGAAGGACTCCTCCTCACCTCTCCAGGCCCCATTCCCAGAACACACAGCTGTTAAGACATACATCCCATTACAACACATTCAGTCTTCGTCTGCCCATGTCTGTACTCTCAGCAGTGAAGCCAATGCCTGGCACATGTGGAGAGTCAGGAGGGAGATCAGTAATTGTAAAATTGTGGGAAAAGAGAATGAAGAGCTAGCAAGCATTTCTTCCATCCCTCCACCCTTGCAAGTCAGTCCAGCCTGTGCTCAGCTCCCCACCATGAGCCACAGACAACGCCGTGCAGGGGAGGAGAGGAGACACCTCAGGGTCTGAAACTGGAGGAGAGACCCAAGATCTGGGAGCCAAGGGCCAGAGTCCTGGGTTCTAGGCCCAGCTCTGCCCCGACTCACTGAGGTTCTTCCATACCCCACGGGCCTCAGTGTTTCCTTCCACTAGGTGGAAAAGAGCTCACCTCTCATTCTCGGAGTCGCTGGAGATCTCCTCATTCATCTTGCCGCCACCCTTGGTCTTGCCCTTGTCCCCAGCAGAGTCGGCCTGGGAATTACATGATCGTCTCTTTGGTCAGGAGTCCCAACCACCTCGGCACTGAGGGACCCCTTCCGATCTCTCAGAGCCCCGGGACTGGGGAAGGCGGGGGGCCCCGGCTCAACTGCAAGGCCTTCCAGGATTTGGTCAGCGGAGAGCGTCACAAGCTGACTCCAACTGGGGTCCGGGGAGAAGGCTTGGGGAGGGGGCAGAGGAGAGGATGGGAGGGGATGAAGGTGGGATGACGGTGGAACGACGGTGGTTCCAGCAGCGGGTCTGATCCCGGCCCGCAGAAGCACGACGCTCACCTTTCGCCGCCGCTTGCCGGCCGCTGCACCGACCCGAGCCCCCGTGGCCGGCTTTCCCCGCTTTCGAGCCACCGTTGTCGCCGACATGCTGCCCAGCGTGTGTATTACAGAGGCCCGGGGAGCACTCACGTGGCGTCTGAACCCCCGCGGTCCGGCAAGGCTCTGTGCGGGGATAGGCTCCCACCGCCTGGCGGGCCCCGCCTCCCACGGCTCCACTGGGTCCTTCGGTAGGCTCTGTCACGCCCCCAAGCGCCCATTGGATTAACGCCTGTGACCACGCCTCCTAGAGCTCTTCTAGGCTCCAGCGCCAGACTCGAATAGGAAGCAAGCCTCTTCCCCGCCCTTCCGGTACAAAGCTGTGGCGCGTGCGCACTTCTACTTAGATGACGTCAAAAGAGGGGCGGACCAGGTGGCCTTCTCTGTGTTTTCGCCCCTTGGACGCTGGGGGGAGACAGAGATGAGGGGTTCCGAGTCCCAGAGCACGACTCCACCTCATTATGGGCGGAGACAAGGGTGTACCAGTCTGGCACTACATAACTGGAAGGGGGACGCGGGGGTTGACCGAGGCAGCCCCGGAGAAAGGAAGGCAGTGCCTGCAACTGGGCCCAGGGTCACTGGGCAACCGGTGGACCCGTACTGCCTGCCTCAAGCCAGACAAGCAGTGCCAAGGACGCTTCAGTCCTCTGGGCCTTAGCAGTGTCCCGATCAAGTGTCCACCCATCCGTGGGACAGGCCTCCCGCATTGGCCTGACCCTGCTCTCTGACTCACCCGACCAGTAGCCAAATAGCTGGAATCCTACACCACCAGCCCTCAGCTCTTCCCAGCCTCTGGCGATTGTCACGAAGTCCCTCCCTAAGCCACACCTAGGCTTACAGAGGGCCTCCTAGAACTAGAGGGACAGCCGTGGGAGGTCCTGATACTGGGCTCGGTGCCACCACCTCTCCCAGGTCCCTGCTTCTCTTAGGTGAGTGCCCTATGGCCCTCTTCACAGCTCTTTACAGGGCAAGGCGGGGCGAGACTGCCCTTGCCTGCTGGCAGTTCAAGGCCACTGGTCTGGGAGTTTGGCTGGCACCCAGAACATTCGATCCCATTGGAAAGGTTTTCTGTACCATGGGGTCCCAAGCTCTGGAGGGCCAGATCTGGCCCCAAGAGTGCAGACCCGCGGCCCCCACTGTCCGTTTTCCTCCATTGCTGGGGTGACTCAGCCCAGCATCCATGCCAGGTCTGAAGTAGCTGAGAATGGGCAGAAGTAGGCGGTGCCCCAAGTGCTCTGGAGAGAGAAGGAGCCCAGAAGTGGGAGGGGAGTTTCTCCTTTCACTTTCCCTACCACCTACCTACACACTGGAGAACTAGAGAGAAGGCACCACTCTTCCTTGCCTGGAGTGGGTGACAGCACAGGGTCCTGGCCTGGCCCCTGTGACTGGGGACAGAGGTGGTTCTGGGGTGCAGAGAGCTGGTTTTGGTCTGGGGCTGTGAACGGGAATGGAGGCAGGGGAGGCGGTGGGAGGTCACCTGGGGCAAGGTGGTGCTGTACCAGACAGGTAAGGTACGGAGACCGTGGTGGCCTGAGTCCCCCTTTGTGCCCCAGAACAGCCATGGCTCCCAAGCGCAAGCTCCCTGTGCAGCGTGAAGGCCCTGAGAAGAAGAAGCAGCAGGGGGCAGAGGAGGACAGCTTCCACTCCACTGCTGAGGCCCTCAGGGCCGCACCCACAGAGAAGCGCGTAATCCGAGTGGACCCTGCATGTCCACTCAGCCGCAGTTCCGGGACCCAGGTAACCTTTAGTCCTGAGCCAGGCCTGGTGCCTGCACACTCGGAGGTACAAATACACTCAGACCACTCCCCTGGGCTTAGCTCTGGCCACGTAACGCAAGGCTCCCAGTGCCGGGTTCTTTCAAGACCCCACAGGTCAGGCAAGGCTGTTTCCCATCAGATCTGGGCAGGCCGTGTCTGCTCCTTGGACCCCAGGGCCGTCCCCTGAGCTTCTCAGGCCTTCCCCTACCACACTTAAGGCAGGGCTCTGACCCCCCCAGCCTCCCTAGGGCTCGGCTCTGTCCCCTCAAACCAGCCCCACAAGGTAGGGCCACGTCCCCCTGAGATCCCTCACAGGGCAG